GGCTGCCTGTCACAACTGCAGTCCGGGACGTGGATGACGTCATACACACTCCGCTTTGCTTTAAAAAAATATAAATATAAAAAATATAACCGCGGATGTCTGGGGGACAGTGATTCTCCTACATGTTATGAATGCTGGCGTACCATAAAGAATACATCATGAACAGTTTAGTTTGTGCCTTCAAGTCATTGCCCATAGGAAGACGTTACTTGGATATCTTCAGAACGGCTCTAAATGACACAAAACTCATATGGGTGAGTAGAACATGATGTAATAGCGTAAAATCAAAGGCCCAATGTAAAAAAAAACTGGCATTGCCCTTTAACTACTATAAGACAGGGCCAAAGGTATCACCTAAAAAAGAACATGCTGTTTGCAGCAGCAACCCAGCTGATGCCCTCCTCCAGAATGGTGTTACAGGTTAAACAAACACCTAACCACATGTACTTACTCTGAAGAGAAGAACAAAGAGTACATTAAGTTAAAGGTTAAAGTAACGACAAATGAGAAATGCAAAATTGAAGAGTATTAGCTGAATGTACCAAAGGAAGGTAAAGTATTCATTATGTTCTCCAGAACCCTAAGCCTACAACAGCATAACTACAGAGGCACTTCAGGATTACCTGAGCCACTCCATAAGCATTATCAAAAGGGAAAGTCTTAAAAGCAGATATGGTGTCTGGGTAGGTGTTTACATAAGACGAATAATTACCTACAGAACTTACCTGGAATGAACAGAACATGAAGGAATGAAAGGTTAGGTGTTTTAGAAAACTACAAACAATAGTTGAATAACAAGAAACAGAGACAACAAGAAAACCAAAACGTAAACTCTGAAGGATTGTGACTTGGCCAAGTAGATGAAAACCCATCCAAAGACCTTTATACACTTGACCTGCAACCTTCTTCCTGATTTAGAAACTGGTAAATATCTAAATGATACCAACTTTAACTCAACAGGATGAAAACAACTCACCATCATGACACTTTATGCTACCTGCAATGACTAGCCATAGGTGCTAACCACCTAGTGTCTCTTTTTGCACTGTGGTCTTGTAGGTTCTTCCTACAAATAACCTCTAGCTTATACTAACAAATTTACCACATCTGTAAGGAGTTCTAGTAATGTAAGTGGTTTCAAAGAGAAACACATAACTCACAGTGCTGTGAATATGAATTTCCACCTTCACATTTTTCTGCAAATTTTGTCAAATGTAAGACTTTCAAATCCTAAATAACGTGTATCAGGTAAAGATCATTGACTTGACTCAAGAGCAGTCTTAAAATGATTTAGATAGCTGCCTTTCATTTCACCAGTTCTTGATTAATGCCAGCCCCAAAGAATCAAGTCATTATCTAATAATAACTTGTTTGTCAGCATGAAATAGGCTCAAAGGTACATTCACACCAAATGTGGACACAATACATTTTTCTCACATAGTTTGCTCACATGGTCCCTTAACATTTTACCTCTCTCTCTCTGTCATACATTCATCATAGATGCCAGCCAGCTCAACTTCAACGCATCATCCAATAGGAGGGGTGTCTAGTTTCCTTAGTGTTTTCTGATTAACGGGCCATATATGTGATATGGTTAGCAATAGTGCCTGTATCAGTATACCTGGGTCCAACAGATCCCCTCCCAGTTCTGCCAATGCCTTAAAGGAATAGTACACCCAAAACATGATTAGCCTTCATTTTCTACTCACCCCCATGCTGAACAACACCCTGGAGTACTTTTTTGATATCTCGAATGCATCTGGAGATCTGGGAGGCTTCTTGCTGTCTGCTGACATTCAAATAATGGAGGTCTATGGTGCCCGAGGCAGAAAGGTCCATAAAAGTCCACAAAAAACGTGTCAATATTCCTCCATACGGCTCGTCCAATGTATTCCAAGTGTCCTGAGTGGGTAGCATCCAGAATTTACTCGAAACGAAGTCATTTAGAATGTTTTTAGAGCATAAACAGTAGTGTATAGGATTTCCTGAAAGAGCGCACATGCGCGATCACGACACTACGGAAGCCGGCAGACCAAACCAGATGAAAGTGCGCATTCAGCGTCTGCTCTGCCAATAATGCAAGCGTAGAAGAAGAAATGTGCTGTTTACCTGTGCAAAGAAAGAAACAACGAAAGAAAAATGTCTGAGGCCTTCAGTGTTGAGGAAGAGCATGAGTTCTTTGCTGAGCTGAATGCGCTGGTTTGGTCTGCCGGCTTCCGTAGCGTCGTGAACGCGCATGTGCGCGCTTTCAGGAAGTCCTATACACTACTGTTTATGCTCTAAAAACATTCTAAATGACTTCGTTTCGAGTAAATTCTGGATGCTACCCACTCAGGACACTTGGAATACATTGGACGAGCAGTATGGAGGAATATTGAAACGTTTTTTGTGGACTTTTATGGACATTTCTGCCTCGGGCGCCATAGACCTCCATTATTTGAATGTCAGCAGACAGCAAGAAGCCTCCCAGATCTCCAGATGCATTTGAGATATCAAAAAAGTACTCCAGGGTGTTGTTCAGCATGGGGGTGAGTAGAAAAAGAAGGCTAATCATGTTTTGGGTGTACTATTCCTTTAACCTGCTCTTGGAGCTGCAGCTGAATCTTTGCTTGCAGCAGTACCTATGTCTGTCAAGGAGCAAAGTAACAGGAGCTAACTAACCAAAGAGGGCTGGATTAAAATCTAGTGGGTTTTTGGCTGAAAGCTTTGTCTCCGTTGTGCTCCTTCTGTCTATGTCACAACCACATTCACTCCATGATTGGTTAAAGCAAAGCGAACAGAGAAGTTTATATTTTTCAACTTTACTGTTTTGCTCTGATCGCCCAATATGTTCCATTGCATTGCTTGAAATGTGTCCTATGCATCACTGATCATTTAGTTGCAACTTATTGTGAATGTATCTTAAAGAATCTCGGACATGAACACATCATGCCCTAATCTAAAAAGCAGCACAGCAATATAGAACTCCTTTCTTGATCTACATAGTGTTCTTCCTTTTGACCCCACAAAAGGTGAAGGGATGGGACCTGTGTACAAGAGGTAGGAAATACAATTTGAGGTATTCAGATGGCGACTAAGGCTTAGTGCTTCAATTGGCCTCACCCAATAGCCATTATCCAAAAGTGAAAAATAAGTGTTTGGGAACCTTCAGAGGAGGTTGACTCAAATGCAATCCCTCAAACCTAGCATGCTTGTAGTGACAGTGGAGAGGAAAAACTACCTTTTAACAGGAAGAAACCTCCAGCAGAACCAGGTTCAATGTGAGCTGCCATCTGCCGAGGCCGACTGGGGTTCAAGGAGACAGAAGCAGACATAGAAAAAGAAGAAGAGATACAAAAAGCAACTGTAAAAGGCGGCCCAGGAAACACAGAGCAAGGCAGACGAGCTATGAGCCAGCTCCCATGTCAGAGGATGGAAGAGAGCACATACAGTTAGTCACAGTCAGAGAAACAGGACTACATTGAAAAACAACTGATATTTTTTTCCAGTGTCACAGCCAATCAGTGAAGCTACTATGAGAAAAAGCAGAGAGAGCAGAACGTTAGAGATTGAACTAACAAATTCTGCAGAATGGGAGAATAGAGATAGAATGAGGTTGAAAGATCTAAAGGAGTCCTCCAGCAGTCCAAGCCCCTAGCAGCATAACTATAGAGATAGCTCAGGATAACCTCAGCCCCTTAAAAGTAGACAGGGTGTCTGCCTCACGGACTAAAACTGGTAGTTGGTTCCACAGGAGAGGAGCCTGATGACTAAAGATCTGCCTCCCATTCTACTTTTAGAAATTCTAGGCTCTACCTGTAAACCTGCAGATTGAGAGCAAATTGCTCTGTTAGGAACATAAGGAATTATCAGATCTCTGATATAAGATGGAAATTAGTTATTAAGGCCTTTATATGTGAGAAGGAGAATTATAAATTCTGTATTTAACAGTAAGACATGCAGTGGCATGGCTATAGGTTCTATGGTCACCATCTATAACCGTACAGCGCGTAGTCCTTCAAAATTAAGATAGATTTTTTTTCTCGAAAGGGCAATTTGTTTGGTTTTGCACAGCAACCCTAAATTTTCACAGTATATTTTACCACTACTGAATAATCTGGTTGTTTTGCACATGGATTCTAGTTTCATACTGTGTTTTTTAAACCTGCAGCTGCTCCATTACAGTAGTAGCCGTTAAAAATTTCCATACTTTCCTTGACCTTGGCTGGTCCCCTAAAATTCCTTTTAAACATCAATATTTGAACAAAAATATTCTTTCCTTCCAGATTTGAGGACATTAAGATTTAAAGAGAAGCGTCATCTCCTTGTTAGACCTTGTAATTCAATGAAATGGTGGAGTCAGAGTAAAATAATATGTAAGAAGGGGTCACTCCAGTGGCTGGAAGTTGGAGGGGATTTTGCTGGTAGTTAGAGGGAAGTAGAATGCCATTCAGCTGCTGTTTGACTTGAAAGGGCCGTTTTGAATAGCTGCTACTGTAAGACCCGTACAGCAGATTTGTGGGCTGATTGGTTTTATTCAGAAACCGTAAAAGCTCGGTTTGCAAGAAATCAGCAGGTAGAGGAGAAAACGCAAGCGAAAACAATTAGTTTTCGAAACATCTGTGTGTCCACTGTTCTACAGAAGTATGGGTAACCACTTACCACACTAAAAGTTCTTATTGTGATTTACAACTTTCAGTATTGTAATCCTAAAAAGAAAGTTTGGATCCAATGCCCTACACACACAAAGAAAATTATTACAACCTAAAATAATTTGGTCTCAAGCTCAATCAACCGTGTGTAAACATCTCGTGATTACATTAATAACAGGCCTCTCCCAAAAGTCAACATGGGGAAAGCTGAAGCGGGGTTTTTGGATATGTACTTTGGGCGGAGTAGGAGTATAGATCCGTCTGCACAGCAGGAGGCAACACCTATAGTAAACACACGGCATTGCCTCACGGTACAGGTCTAGTCTCATCCCCGCTCCAAATTCAACGCAACGCAACGTATAAAAAACGCCTCCTCTTCCCAAGCCCACTGCCTGTACACCTGCCGCTCCTGTTCTTCTCTTCAGTTCTCCTCTGAAACCAGCCAAGCACAGGGCAAGCAGCAATCATGAGCAGCCTGGAGAGTGCCATGGCCATCCTGCTCCATACTTTTGACAAATATGCCAACTCTGACGGAGTGAAGGAAACAATGAGCCAATCTGAGGTGAAGACGTTGATAGAGAAAGAGCTTCCTGGGCTGGTCAAGGTACGGTACTCACCATGGGAGGGGAGGGACTCCTGTGCTTATCAGGGTAGACAGTGTCAGATAATTATCCATCTAGTTTCTAAACGCTGACTTGAGTGAAGAAAACGTTCTTTAAAGGAAAACTCCGGTCATATTCAGAATTCAAACTTCTGAAAGTCCTTTAAATATTAAATTATAACATACTGTTCAATAAATTATATGTGTTTTTTTAATTAAGATTAGTTTTCATTTGAATATGCTTTACTGGAGGCATCCATGTTTGTCAAAGAACACTACTGCCACCTACTGGTTTTATGATGTCACGGTGCGGTATCGGCTGTTGATCAAGTCCCAGTGCTGTATCTGGTGTTTGTCACAACGCGCTATTATCCAAGTCATCTTGAAAACATTCTTCTTCCAAATGTTGGCTACATATTAAGTGTTTTTCCGATCGCAAATCCTTCCTCTTCAAGTTGGCAATCCAACGATGAGCCCGTCCGTAGAGGATCAGGAATAACAAGGTGGAATAACAATTTTTTTCTCAGTTTTACCCGATGTATTCCAACATCCAGCTGCCATGCACGTGGGCATCGTCAGTTTCACTATAGCTCTGGTGAATTTCAATGGTGAAGTCCTCTGGAAATCTTCAATAATTGTTGATGATTGCAGATGTGTCTAGTAGTTCCTATTGATTTTGCTTGTAATGGTGCTAGGCTTACCGCACCGTGACGTCACAATATGTCAGGAGTGAGGTGTTACTATATTTGGGCAAAAATGGCCGCTCCCAGACTCAGTGATTCCGACAAAAATTTTTGGTGTTATTTTTTTACTAATTAATGCTAAATTCTAGCCTGACGTAGTCCGACTCAATTCTAGTCAGAATATGAGTCTGATACTGCTCCATAGAGCTGTGATTATGGGGCGTGTTTTGAACGAACCAGGAAAAAAAAAGCCTCTGCACTCAATTGGATAGACCTACAACCAATAAGAGCAACGGAGTGCGTGACGTATGTTAAGCCACGCATAGTTGTTGTCCACAAAAATCAAAGCGTGCAGTTTCACGCCTAGAATAAGAAGATGAGCCTTGATCGCGTTTCTCTGTTCCTCTTTTAAAATTAATTTGCTGTCGATATCTTCTAGAACAGACCTAATAGCAGAATCTACTCACCCAAACTCTCCAGCGGCAGCCATTGTTGTTGTCACCCAAGCGCGCTTTGGTCACGTGGTTGATAACGTTACTCTTGATCATCTGTCCATCATCGTATAAAGCCCGCCCTGACAATTTGATTGGATCGCCTGACAGTGGGCTTTAATACTCGCGCTACTATGGAGCAGAGCCAGACCGAACTTCCCCGAACTCAAACCTTGTGGGCGGGACTAAGTTCGGACTGGCACCCAGGCTAGCTAAATTCCTTAAATTACGGCAAATGTATTAGTTTTAGGTATCAAATATGATCCATTGATTATTTCTTGCTGACTGGACTTTTCTTTTAAAAGCTTCTTGGACCATGGAAAAAATATTAGTTTTGCAGGGATTACTTTTCCCATCAGATTTTGTTCATTTCTGCATCTTAGGATGTTGTTTCTGTTTAAAAATGCCTGTTTAGAAAGATAAATGTGGTTCTTCAATGAGCTTGATGTAAACACAACCCCCTATTTGATGTTTCTGATGTGCAGGCAGCAAAGAATCCTGATCAGGTGGAAAAGTTTCTGAAAAGTCTGGACAGCAACGGCGACAATATGGTCGACTTCAAAGAGTTCATGGTGCTGGTCGGCTCCTTGACCTGCGTTGCCCACAACCGCTTTATCAAATAAAAGGGATCATGGCGCCCAGATCACCTTGGCTGGAGCACGGCAGAAAAAAAAAAAAAAAAAAAGCACTCCTACTTCCTGTTATTTTGTGCCAAATAAAATGATTTTCTACACATTAAGTATGTCAATGTCTAGATTTTTCCTTTATAACTGTACATATTTGCGAACACGATACTGGCATCTAATTAATATACCAAAAGAGGCAAAAAAAAAAAAAAAAAGGGAAGGATAATCTATTACAGAAGTTCACAGAAATATGAAAAACAAACTTACCAAAAATACTTAATATTACTTCAATCTATGTTTATTCCAAGATATAAAGTGAAGCGTCTGTATTCATTTTGAAATAAATGTACTTTTGAATTGAATGTTTAACCTTTGCCGCATGAGAAAAACGAATAAATGCTACGTTATTTCATGGGATATTTGTTCATTTTATGTAATTTGGTTCCTTCTTTTACCTCAGAGAAAACATTGCAAACATCACATCTGTTGATCCCATCCCAGAGGGTCAAAACACTCACTGTAGGAATCCTGGATCTATTATATACAACGTGTTGTTATTGTTGAGAAACCTCTTGTGAGGGCAAAACTGATAAAACCACTCACGGCTGGCGACTGTGGAACCGGACATGAACAGTTCCTTAAACTGAACTTCCTCAGAGGTTTGGGGCAGTTTCTCAATGTTTTTATCAGACAACTGACACAAAACTCATGCAACTCATCCACTAATTAAAAATATTCAGACTAAAAATCAGTCTCTAAGAACTTTTATATTTACACTGGTAAAATTATCTAGAAATAAGTAAAAATGTCTTAAATTAAGTGTATTTACCTTTTTTTTGAATAGGTAAATTTGCCAATGAAATAAGTATTTTTACACTTAAAATAAGATAATTAGATAATATGCACTTGGAATAAGACTATGCAATTGTGTTTTTTTATTTTAAATCTAAATGGTCTTGTTCCATTGACAAAATGTCTCTTTTATCTCCTCAATTCAAGAACAAATGCACTTATTTTAAGAAAAAATGACTTATGTAGATTTGGATTTTTTCCAGTGTATTATTTTGAGCTAGAAAATGTTTTAAAGGAATAGTACACCCAAAACATGATTAGCCTTCATTTTCTACTCACCCCCATGCTGAACAACACTCTGGAGTACTTTTTTGATATCTCAAATGCATCTGGAGATCTGGGAGGCTTCTTGCTGTCTGCTGACATTCAAATAATGGAGGTCTATGGCGCCCGAGGCAGAAAGGTCCATAAAAGTCCACAAAAAACGTGTCAATATTCCTCCATACTGCTCGTCCAATGTATTCCAAGTGTCCTGAGTGGGTAGCATCCAGAATTTACTCGAAACAAAGTCATTTAGAATGTTTTTAGAGCATAAACAGTAGTGTATAGGATTTCCTGAAAGCGCGTTCACGACTCTACGGAAACCGCGGCAGACCAAACCAGACGAAAGTGCGCATTCAGATCGGCAAAGAACTCATGCTCTTCCTCAACACTGAAGTCCTCAGACATTTTTCTTTCGTTGTTTCTTTCTTTGCACAGGTAAACAGCACATTTCTTCTTCTACGCTTGCATTATCGGCAGAGCAGACGCTGAATGCGCACTTTCATCTGGTTTGGTCTGCCGGCTTCCGTAGCGTCATGAACGCGCAGGTGCGCGCTTTCAGGAAATCCTATCCTCAGGGATCCTCAGGGAAAAGTACTTATTGTAATACTCATATTAAAACAATGAGAAGGTTTAAATGAAGCAAAACATACAGTAATGGCCGTTCAAAATTTCTCCACTTTTCTTGCCTTTTCTTTCCTTTATAAACATCAATATTTGTACTAAAATATTCTTTCTGTCATGATTTGTGGACATTAAGATCCAAAGAGAAGCATCATCTCCTAGTCAGACCCTGTAATTCAGTGAAAGGGTGAAAGGGTCACTCGAATGGCTGGAAGTTTGAGGCGATTTCACTGGGAGTTGGAGGGAAGTTGGCTGCCATTCGGCTGCCGTTTGACTGCGAAGGGCCATTTTGAATGATCTATTCCGTCATTAAAAAACACTTTATAGATGCAAAAAGCCATGTAGAAGCTGTTGTATAGTTTTAAGCCTGAGGACGTGCGGGGCATGTCCTAGATCATTCATTTCAAAGCCACAGACTGAACAGTCTGTCCAGACAGCTCATAGTGAGAGCATTCTCAGACCTGTGCATGATGTTTCCTCTCACACATAAGATTAACACAGATTATAGACTTCCTCATTTAAATATGCAGAGTTCCCCTATAGAAAAATGGGGCATTTCAAGAAATTCCTCTTTTAGAGGAGTCAGCTTTGGAGCCTGATGGATCAGAGAACCTGCTTGTGTTGAACATCAAAGTATGTGTGTGTTATTTTATTAGATCCAAAAAGATCAGGGTGGGGTCATGTGTCAATCTGAAGCACAGTGTGTTTCTCGTTAGGGATGTAAGGTCTTCAGAATGCAGCTTTATCTTTGCATCTCCTCTGCTCATGAGTTGCCTCGCCTCTCCAGCTGAGCGCAGTGGAAACGGACCTCTGCAAACATCTCGAGCGAGTGGTCGGGTTGTGGTTTGGGTTCGATGCAGCAGTGTCAGCCAAAAGCATGCTCCCCCTCTCAAGCTGTTTCTTAGCACTCACATGCAGGGCTGTTTTTCGAAAATTAGCGGTATCCCAAAGTCAACAGAAACCACCTAATGATACTGATTATAGCCAGTAATTAGATATTTCCCTTTTAAACATGAGATGCAGTCAAAATACCTCTAGATCACTAATTGGAGGATAAGATTCTTTATTAATCCTGTGCAGTGCCTCTTCTAATCCATCTTTGTGATGGTTTGTTTTAGTTTGAGGTCAGGGCCCTCCCAGTCCAACAGGTAACATGCTTTCTCTCTCAGACAGTTGTGTAATTATCAAATGTCAGTGCTGCCCTCTTGTGGCCAATAACGTAAGTTCTCATGAGACAAAAAGGTAGGAAGAGATGCAGCAGAGTGGAGTCTTTTATAATGTAATCTCCAGCCTAGGTGACTAAAATGTCTACAGCGGCCTTGAATTTCTGTCTCAAGGAGTGTTTGGACAATCTGCCCGTCCAGGCGGAGATGGAGGCCTTGCAGTGCCGCTTGTGAAACTGGGTCTGTAATAATCGGCTTGCAAGGTCATTAAGAACAAACTTTCCCCTGACCGCTTCCTTGACCTATCCAGGGCCATTACGGAGGCTTATGGGGATTAGCTGTCCCGGTGGAGGATGTGGCCCTGGAGTCAGGAGAGAGTTTCAGGAGAGAAGCAGTTTGACAGGAGCATAATTATACATACCTACCCTAGATACTGATACCTCTAGATAAAACTCAGGGAAACCCTAAACCTAAACAAAGAGCTACAGTGAAATAGTTCTTAAAATGACAAAATCCAGACATAGACCCAATTGGGAATCTGTGACAAAAAGGTGCTACTGGAAATAAAGTAATAAATATAAAGAATACAGATGAATGTTATTATCTTAGCATATGGTAGTTTAGACTCACTTTTTTTCAATTTTATAGGACAAATGTTAATATTACTTACTACATTTAATGGAAAATGTCATTCATAAAGGTTTCTATCCCAAACTCTCATATCTGAGGATGACTGAGAGCTGAAGAACTTCAAAAAATCAAGATAAGAAATTATGAAAGTCAAACCTCAGTCAAACTGTCTTTTAAACTGGGTTCCTGTTAATTATGATTGTCTAATATTTACATAATTGGAGCTAATTCTGCCAAATATTGAAGTGAACCGTTTGTCAAATCTGTCTGAGCACTTAGAGGTTTACTAGTTTATCCAAGTCTCACATTATATTTCCTACACACTTGTCTTAATTGCATGTTTGTGAGGCAGGAAAATGCAAAGGCAGAGTGGGGTATCAGAAAACAAAGAAGAACTTACAGGAGAATTTCAGGAGGAACGACTTCTAGAAAAAAGGCAGAATATCAGGCAGCGACATAAAGAAACAATGCAGACAAACTAAACTAATCAGTGTGCTTATATACTGAGAAGATACGAGAAAAACAGCTGAGACAGCGGACGGCAGAGAGGCTGATGGAGGACGACTAATTAACATGAGTGAACTAAGAGTTTAAAATGGCCTTTAATACACATTCCAGCAATCAATAAAACAAAATAATATTAATAGAATTAAAACATCAAAAAGAAAGAAACAAAAAAGAAAGAATCAAACAAACAAAAAAAGGAAAAAGAGAGAAAGACAAATAGTAGTTTAATTTATTCCCTACCATCCGCTCTGACACGTTTTTCAGCCCAAGAACACAAATATGTTAATTTTCACTGTGTTTTAACGGATCAACAAGGTTTGCTTGCACAGTTGTTCCAGCAGCTAGCTTCTAATGAACCTCAACAGTAGGGGTCAGCAGAGAGCTCTCTAAACGCTGATACTCTCTTCCACTATAACAACCTTTCAAACAGCTCCTCATGATACCACTGTGCACCAAAGGGTTAACTTCTGTCTGTTCATATAAAGGTAACCAGTGCCATATTTTTTTAGGACTGGTGGGATATATGAAAATTGTTCTGGTGCTGGTCAGGGCGTTGGATAAACTGGAGCTGATAAGAACATAAATCTAACATACTGAACATAAACATCAGCCACCGGTCCTGTTTAACAAGAGAAATAACCTCTGCTTCTGTCTCCTTGAACCCCAGTCGGCCTCGGCAGACGGCCGCTCAGAGAGTTTTTTCTCTCCACTGTCGCTACAACATGCTTAGTGTGAGGGATTGCCTTCCAGTCAATGAGTCGATACAATCAGCTGGTTTTCCTTAGATAAAATCTTTGAATCAATTCCACTGGATGATCTGGTGAACTGCAAAGTGCCTTGAGATGACGTGTTGTGAATATGCGCTATAGAAATAAACTGAATAGAATTAAAATGAACAGTGTTTGGGAATATCATTTTCAGAATTGTAACTTACTGTTGGTTCTTGTTCTCAGCTGCACTGACATTTTAATGGACACTGTTACTCTGGAGATAATCAATTCTCAACGTCGTTCTTTTGGTTTTAACAGCCATTTATTGTGGCTGTCAGAACTAAGAAGGAAATCAGAAACCCAGTT